GTTAAACAAATATATATTCCAAAAGTTTGTTTAACATATATTCCAAAAGCTTAAGCTGATAGAAAGAGTGTCATTTTAGTATTTATACTTCAACGAAGTTAATCCAATGGTGTTGCATTTGGCATGCAGATGGCAATATTATCTCGCATTTACCCTTGCAAGGAATGTGCAGATCACTTTAAAGAAGTTCTACGGTATTTATTCTGGGGATGGATTCATTTTCAAAATGTGATTGTAGACTTGCTCAAAACTTGATAATGGGATTGCATAGATGCTTAGTACTGATTTGGTAGGTTTTCCAATCAGGGACTGCAATGTGATTCTGTGGAACCATTATTGCCTAGCAAGAGTGTTCTTGGCTGTTATTACATGTTTTCAAATTCTATGAAAATAAAGGACTTGTTTCAAATGCTATGTCAAAAAAAAGAAGAAATTTTTTAGCATTATTGACATGATTCTTGAGTGTGCCTTTGAAGGTTATACATCAAGTTAATCTTCCTAAGAAGGAATGCTTAAACATTTTAAGATAATAAGATTTTAAAAATGCAGTGCATTAACAAGTCATGCACTCTCATTTCCGATTTTGCACCTGACATCCTAGAACACTTGGAAGAGACTAGACTAAACGTTTCAGCTATTATAGATGTTATTAGAACAACTGTGTTCTTTTTTCATGTTTCTTCCTGACTGTCTTTGCTTGTGGGATCTTTCTTTTGATATCAAGAAGAGTGGTCATCTCAAATACTTTCACCATATAGGATAATTCCTGAGTAATATTGTATGAGATAAAATAGAGTAAATTACACATATAACCCCTCAAATTATGACCATTGTGTCAATTAAGCCTCTGAATTTTTCTTTTTTTTGTGTCAATTGAGCCATTGAATTCTCCAATTGTGTCAATTGAATCCTTATGTCTGCCTCGGTTAGATTTTTTATCGGAAAGTGGCTAAGTGTGCCACTCACATGACTTGTGTTAATTGAGTTTATAGACTCTCTACATGTGTTAATTGAGCCCTTTTATTTTTTTTGTGCATATATTCACGTGAGTAGTACACTCTAACAAAGACAGACATGAGGGTTCAATTGACATAAGTAGAGAATTCAAGGGTTTAATTGACACAAAAAAAAATTAGGGACTTAATTAACACAAAGATCATAATTTGAAAGTCATATGTATAGTTTACTCTAAAAAATATTTTAGCCAACGAAAAAATATAATTTTCCTCTGATTAATTTACTTGTTTGACAGAGCAAGTCCTGTGCAGGCTGGATCTCAAGCTGAGTGTTCCCAGGGGTTGTGTTATGCCCACAATGTTGTGAACAGAAGGTAACTCGTGCGCTCGTAATTGGAACTCTTCCCTATTGACAACTAGCAAATGCTCCATATGGCCTTCAAACTAGGTTACGATTGCAAGACCAATCTTGAGACAGCCCCAAATTCTAATCAGCTTCTTAACTGTAAAAATAGTGTAAGTTTTATTGTGAGTTAAAACTTTCTGGGTTTTTCTTTCTACAGCCTTGGAAAGCTGGTGTTTCCCTGTGAACGAGTCCATGCACGGTGGGGAAAACTAGAGTGTGAGCAACGTGCATGTGATCTGCAAGGAACTACGACAAATTTTGGCAATGGAACCCATTGAATTGCCGATACTTGAACAGGAACTAGCAGAAACTTAGCGTGCAATGTGATCTAAACGGACCTCTGACTCATGTTGGCCATGGAACCTATTGCAGTTCTGAATTCTGATAGTTAGAAGTAGGAGATACATAAACTTACCTTCTTGTCGCATTCTCTTGTATTTAATATCATAGAGCTGGCACTTGCTTATGAAATTCTAAAATTTCCTCTCGAAGAAGTACTTAAAAATAAATATTTGTAAGAAAANTGATTGATGGTGTAAAATGTCCAAAAAAAGGCCCAGAAATAGATGTTTTGGCCTCCTGAAGTTTTTTTTAAAAAAAAAAAATTATGCCCAGCTCGCCCCTGAAGCTGCCTGTTCGCCCAAACTGCTCGCCTAACTCTCTATTCAAAGTTTTGACTGTAACTTCAGCTCTGTTATTCCAAATGAGACTTATAATATATCAAATCAAAACTCTCGACGAGCCCTATAAGGCCCACAACCTATGGTTGTGACTGATTCTGTAAAAGGTCCAAAAAAGACTTGGAAGCAAATGTTTTGTCCCCCTGAAGTTTTTTCGATTGTGCCGGTCAGTCGAAAATTCAAACTTAATTGAATGCCCTCCTTTCCAAGTTTCATTGGACACAGGGCATTGGAGAGCAAATGATGGGCTAAGCCCAAAGGCCCAACTCATGTTATAAGCCCAGTTCAAGTTTATAGTCCGACTCCAAGAGATCCAGCGAATCCAGCCCAGTGTGGCCAATCCGGTCAAGCTCAGTAACTCAAGGAGCTAAGGGAGCAAGTAAGGTCATCTAAAGCCTTATCCTCACTGCCCTGGAGATGGTCAACACCCCACCTCATCCTTTGACCGAATCTCATAGGGAGCACCGCAACTGCCTAGCACATTGAGAAGAGCTCGCCAAATTCAACAAACTAGTCAACTACTTACTAATATCTTGTTCAAATCTATTAAGAGGGCGATTATAAATTGTAAGCTCCACCAACACTTGGGAGGTAGATCACACTTTACCTGAGCACAACTCTTTCCTCTCCCTCAAAGCTTGTACTCTCTGCTTTCCACACCCTTAAGTTAATAAAATACATGACAACCAAAGTCATTAAAGAGTGGACGTAGGTCGAACTGACCGAATCACTATAAATTGTCTATGTCTCTCCATCTCCTAATATTATTTTTTTGCATTTATTATTCACACTTGATAAATGATGTGCAAAAATTATTTTTTGCATCATCAGTGAGCATATACTCAAGTACAAAAGCTCTTGCTTAGGAGTATGATCCTTGGACATAATCCACTAAATCTACTTTTTCACATTTGTTTAAGTACAACAAATTGAATGGTGTTATAAGTTTTGGACAGAAGACTGCCATAGCAGTGTGAAATGAAGCTGGACCAGAATTTCCAAGATAAGACAAATTGTAATCCTTATTGGCTATTGAAGCATGTTAAACAAATATATATTCCAAAAGTTTGTTTAACATATATTCCAAAAGCTTAAGCTGATAGAAAGAGTGTCATTTTAGTATTTATACTTCAACGAAGTTAATCCAATGGTGTTGCATTTGGCATGCAGATGGCAATATTATCTCGCATTTACCCTTGCAAGGAATGTGCAGATCACTTTAAAGAAGTTCTACGGTATTTATTCTGGGGATGGATTCATTTTCAAAATGTGATTGTAGACTTGCTCAAAACTTGATAATGGGATTGCATAGATGCTTAGTACTGATTTGGTAGGTTTTCCAATCAGGGACTGCAATGTGATTCTGTGGAACCATTATTGCCTAGCAAGAGTGTTCTTGGCTGTTATTACATGTTTTCAAATTCTATGAAAATAAAGGACTTGTTTCAAATGCTATGTCAAAAAAAAGAAGAAATTTTTTAGCATTATTGACATGATTCTTGAGTGTGCCTTTGAAGGTTATACATCAAGTTAATCTTCCTAAGAAGGAATGCTTAAACATTTTAAGATAATAAGATTTTAAAAATGCAGTGCATTAACAAGTCATGCACTCTCATTTCCGATTTTGCACCTGACATCCTAGAACACTTGGAAGAGACTAGACTAAACGTTTCAGCTATTATAGATGTTATTAGAACAACTGTGTTCTTTTTTCATGTTTCTTCCTGACTGTCTTTGCTTGTGGGATCTTTCTTTTGATATCAAGAAGAGTGGTCATCTCAAATACTTTCACCATATAGGATAATTCCTGAGTAATATTGTATGAGATAAAATAGAGTAAATTACACATATAACCCCTCAAATTATGACCATTGTGTCAATTAAGCCTCTGAATTTTTCTTTTTTTTGTGTCAATTGAGCCATTGAATTCTCCAATTGTGTCAATTGAATCCTTATGTCTGCCTCGGTTAGATTTTTTATCGGAAAGTGGCTAAGTGTGCCACTCACATGACTTGTGTTAATTGAGTTTATAGACTCTCTACATGTGTTAATTGAGCCCTTTTATTTTTTTTGTGCATATATTCACGTGAGTAGTACACTCTAACAAAGACAGACATGAGGGTTCAATTGACATAAGTAGAGAATTCAAGGGTTTAATTGACACAAAAAAAAATTAGGGACTTAATTAACACAAAGATCATAATTTGAAAGTCATATGTATAGTTTACTCTAAAAAATATTTTAGCCAACGAAAAAATATAATTTTCCTCTGATTAATTTACTTGTTTGACAGAGCAAGTCCTGTGCAGGCTGGATCTCAAGCTGAGTGTTCCCAGGGGTTGTGTTATGCCCACAATGTTGTGAACAGAAGGTAACTCGTGCGCTCGTAATTGGAACTCTTCCCTATTGACAACTAGCAAATGCTCCATATGGCCTTCAAACTAGGTTACGATTGCAAGACCAATCTTGAGACAGCCCCAAATTCTAATCAGCTTCTTAACTGTAAAAATAGTGTAAGTTTTATTGTGAGTTAAAACTTTCTGGGTTTTTCTTTCTACAGCCTTGGAAAGCTGGTGTTTCCCTGTGAACGAGTCCATGCACGGTGGGGAAAACTAGAGTGTGAGCAACGTGCATGTGATCTGCAAGGAACTACGACAAATTTTGGCAATGGAACCCATTGAATTGCCGATACTTGAACAGGAACTAGCAGAAACTTAGCGTGCAATGTGATCTAAACGGACCTCTGACTCATGTTGGCCATGGAACCTATTGCAGTTCTGAATTCTGATAGTTAGAAGTAGGAGATACATAAACTTACCTTCTTGTCGCATTCTCTTGTATTTAATATCATAGAGCTGGCACTTGCTTATGAAATTCTAAAATTTCCTCTCGAAGAAGTACTTAAAAATAAATATTTGTAAGAAAAGCACTTTTGTTGAACGAGTATTGTTTGAATATTCATAGAAAATACATAAATAGTAAACATTTTATAAACACTGCAGTTTAATGGTAAATAAAAGCATTTACCTTTGTTACAATTAAAATTATATTGCCTCTTTTTATATAATGAGGATGGTAGTGGGGTTGATGGTGTTGGTGGCTGCATCGATGGTGGTGGAGGGAGTAGTGGTGATAGCATTAACGGTGGTGGTGGTGGTGTGAAGGTGGCTATAATGGCAACAACAATGTGACAACAGTGATAGTGGTGGTGGTGTGAAGGTGGTGATAGTGGTGGTGGCTGTAATGGCAATGGTGGTGGGAGGAGAATTGGCGATGATGATAATGCTAATGTTGTGGTGAAATAAACCACCAGACAAAATAGCCAACACCAAGTCTATATACTTCACTTCTGCTTTCAAGGGAATAGAATTGGAAGCCATATCAGTTATTAATGACCCAGTCCTCTTCAACTACCCCCTTCACCCTCCACCCCACCCCCAAAAACAAAAGGAAACAAAAAACTACCGAAATTCAATTCCTCAGTATTGAGTCCTCACTCCTCAGCTTGGTTACCTCGTAGTTGAAAATATTCACTTGCACGAAATGGTGGGGCTTCCCCAAACTTCAGTATGTAAGCAGTTTCATAAACAGGCCGTAGTGGCAAAATCACTTGAGCATCAAGATATGCATCACAGGAGAAACACCAAACTGATAGGTCGCTGCAGCCAGAAGTAAACAGATGATATGTATGGATGTCGATAAATTTATCAAATTCTGCAACAAAATCAAACATAAAAAGAAAATGCCGGATTGTTAACCTGTAGCTGAGTGCCAGACAATGGTTTCTCTGTTGATAATGCTCAAGCATGTGCTTGTTAACAAAACGGCTGCAAAGGATATCCTTACAGCACAAACACAGCCAGTTCTCTTCCAGATGATGGCACCTGTAGAAAGTTATCACATGCCTTAGGAAATATGTGCCCTCTGGGATAAGTTAAAACTTCAAATTTCTCAATCACAATGTATTCTTGTCGATTACAGCTTTAACAGTACAAGAAAGACGATATTTCCATTTAATAGCTGAATCAATATTATGTTTAGTTACAGCTAACACCACTTTCAACACCAGTTGAAATTTGTATTGATTAGTTGCAGATGTTATATGTAAGTTCTAAACGCAGTGAAACATTTAGGAACAAAGGGCACAACAAACGATCCAAATCATATTCTTTATCTAAACATGGTAAGTTATTTAACAGTTTTTCATCCACCTTGTATAATCGGAAAAACGCAATATATCAAAAGCATATTGGAACCTCCAATCCTCGAGTTAAAGTCCTTCATGGTTCACTGGGGTCAAATTAATGAGTGGAAATACGGACAAATGCTTGTTAAATCACTTAGAAAATAAGAAGCATAACCAAGTTCATACACATGTAATAAAAATACATAAAACCATAAAATACCAATTATTGTGATGGAAATGACTTCCTAATATCCAATTGAATTATATCCTCAGCAGTGGGCATATGGTATTGTATCCTCGTGCATACATAAATAAGTTCTTAACTTCTTATATACCAATTCAAGCACAAATATGATTTTGTATTTGCACCCATATGATGAATCTAGAGGCAACGGCACTGCCAAACTATATAGTCTTGCCCCTTGAAATTTCTGGAAAATTAAACCCTCCAAAGTGGAAATTCCTAGTGCTGTCCATTCAAATATACATCAAAGTCTATTTTGCAAACAGATTTTTACCTGGAAAGACGTCAGTTCAATCACACCCAAGATTAAAAAAAATCACAATTTTATAAAAAACTATTATAAACTGAGAAATCAATTAAAAATTTTGAGAATGAACTTTTAGAATGTGATTCTTTTCACCCATCAGTACTTGTCTTGTCTCTCTAGATTAATCAATAATGCTGTAATTTTCACATACAGCATATACATATCTATTTAATATTAGAAACAGAAAGTTGAATTTTCAACTTATAAATACATATATACATGTGTGTGTGAACTGTGTGCAATAATAGAAGCAACAAGGGTTTGAGGTTGAGGATGAAATTGACCTGTTGCAGGGAGTGTCAGGGGTGGGGATGTGGGTGAGATCCGAAGATAACGAACCCAAGTGATCGCAGTGTGTTCGGGCTTCAACCCAACCCGATTCGGATCCGTATAAGAACGACTCTTGGTCTTCTTCGATTGCTGAGAGAGACGACGATGAACCAGCTCCATTGGCCATTATAGATCACTTTAAAGCTCAGACCTCAAACTTGGCTATTGTATAAAAATACGCAACAGATCGCATGCTGCCAAACAAACCGCACCGTTTCGGTTTAAGCAAGTCAATAAATACATACTTACCGGAAAAAAAAAAAAAAAAAAACAATAAATACATGTGGTTTCATTTGTTTTACGGCAGAATGATAGAAAATACAAGAATTTTTTATTTTTTATTTCTATTTGTTTGATTAACATAAAAAGAAAAATGGTAGAAATTTTTTTTGAGTAATGATATGTATTCTAAATTTGTAACTCAAATCTGTATCTCAAATCAAGAGGATCATTGGATTAGTGGATCCTATTTAAAAAAATTGATGGAACCCACTGATCTAATGGCCCTCCTTGATTTGAGATACAAATTTAGGTTACAAATTTGGGATACATAGCACTACTTATTTTTTTTTACGCTCAAATTTTTTCATAAATAACCAACTTTTTTTTCTTGTAAAAACCACAAGGAAATGCTAGAAAGTTGTGATATTTAACTAACTTTTTATTTTACTCGTATTTTTCTTAAAATATTTTATTAATTATTAATTTTTAAAAAAAATGGTATATATTTGATTAATCATATAATTTTGTCCAAAGACCTTTGTGTTGGTGATTATCCTAAAAGTAGGTTTCGAGCCACTGTTTTAACAAAATTTTAACTTTCAATTAGAATTACATTTTTTTTCTTTTTTAGATCGATTTAATATAATTAAGGGTAATTTAGACAATTATAAAAAAAAATTATAACTTTTCTTTTTTTCAAACAATAGAATGAAATTTTTTTAAAACTTTCCCGTAAAATTTTCATTTCAACTAAATACATGTATAAAAATATATATTTTATAATTTTATTTTCTTTCACTTTATTTTGTATCATTTTTCTCTTTCTAATAAAACGGGCCCTTAGGAATTGTTAACCGAGCGTTGGGTTGGCCCAACATTTTTTGGTCCAAGCTCCAATTGATTTTGATTCATAAGAGAACCAAATTTACTAAAATTTTTGAGTTTATCTAAATTCTAATACTACTAAAATTAACAATAAAAATGCAATACAACTAGAAAATAAAAAAAAAAACAAAATCAGTGGCTCAAAAGTCGAGAAGTTATTAGACAATTCATACAAATTTTACAATGTAAACACACACACACACACAATATATATATATATATAGAGAGAGATACTGACTAAGAGAGCTTCGTTGGAGATATTTTATTGAGATCTCAGATCTAAAGATTTGTATGCTATTCTGTCGAAGGGGTGAGAGAGATGGAGGGGCTGAGTTACTCGTCCTTGACTAAGTGAGAGAGAGATCAAAGGCTTGCTTTGTGTCAGTTCTGACGACNTGAGAGAGATGGAGGGGCTGAGTTACTCGTCCTTGACTAAGTGAGAGAGAGATCAAAGGCTTGCTTTGTGTCAGTTCTGACGACTCTTCTGTGTGTTTGTGTCCAAGTGTGAGAGAGAGAGAGAGAGAGAGAGTGAGAGGGGGGGCATAAATATTTTGATGGTGAGTTGGGCTCCGGATTTTATAATAATATATTATATAATTTATTTTAAATTATTAATTAATAAAAAATCGGAGTCGGAGTTAAAAGTTTTTTGGAATAGACTTTAGAATTCGACTCCAATCGAAATCTGTAATTTTTTTCTGACTCTAACTCTGAAAAACTATGACTCCGACAGAGATAGAGTCAGACACAGAGTCAAAATTTTGAATTCTTACACAACCCTACATGATGAATCGATTTTTCATATTTGTCAGCATTGCAATGAATATTTTCTCCTTCTCTAATCTCTTTGTTGAGTGTCCCCATTTTTTTTTTTTTGGGATGGAAATGCAACCGAAGATGGTTGCATCAAACCCTTGTTTGTTGGCGATCACGTCTGCATGCCGGTTTCCGGTTATCCTTGTTGATTGAAAGAGTAAGGATTTTGATACAAGAAACATTTGTTTTTTTTTTTTTTTTTTCACAATCAGAATAATATCTGGTTTGGCTCAACTTAAATTGGCTCCTTTTTTAAAGAGGTTTTATTTATGAATAACTAGCATCTAATCTCATGTGACGTACGAATCATCCTCTTTTTTTCCAATCCCTTCTTCACTCTTTACTCTCGCATACACTTTATTTTATAAATTAACAAACAAGTTGTAGGAATTATTAGATTATAAATTTGATGTTAAAAAAATCAATGGTATGGTGGTTAGAGGGAGTTTATAGGTGGTTATTTAGGTTTGTTTTTTGAAGCATTTGGTATAATATGATTGAAGGATAAAAAATTTAATAATTTAAAAATTAGAAAAATGAGAGGGAGAATTTATACAACCATTTTCTTAAGAAATTGACTGTTTTACATTAATAATGTTTCGTATAAAAAGATAAATAGGCAGTGGATAGGATTAAAAATGGATTGATTAATCATTCAAGAAAAAATTAAGGATAAATGTTGATTGTTTTATGAAAAGAGATAATTGAGTGGAGTGAAAGATGCAATTAAGAGTAATTATTTGAATTTTCTTTTTTTTTTTTTTTTATCATTTTAAGTGTAACACACAAATCCTATCATATTTTGTTATGAAAAATAAAAATTTGAATTTTTTGGTTGAAGCACCTATTATGTGAAAGATTAGAGACTCGAATTTATTCTTAAATGTTTATGGATTAGATACACTTATTTATCCTTTTCTAATAAAATTTTTAGGACTATAAACTTCTAAAATTCGATTGTTAATTGCTTCTAAGATTTTGGGGATTTTTTTTTACAAAAAAAGTTATTATTTTTTTTAGATAAAATAACCTGTAGAATTTTTACTCTTTCATTGAACTCAATTTCTACTTGAAATTGATTTTAAATTAAATAACCTATAGAAATTTTACTTTTTCATTAAATTTAAACTCCACTCGCACTTAATTCAAATGTTTATAAGTTTCTATCGAGCTAAACTTTAGCAAGAATTTAAGATCGACTGCTATGTTCGGTTTGATCTTGAGCTATACTAACTTAATTTCAGATATATTCAAACTCGACAAACTTATGTTCCATTTTGGTAGGAAGAAGAGATATATTTTCTATCATTCAAGGAAGGAAAATATGAATGATACATTTTTTTTTTTTTTGTGCTTGATTGGAGGAATGAAAAATAAAAAAAATATATTTTTTTTTGTGTTAGCTAATATTAGGGGTGACAATTGAGTCGTGTCAAGTCAGAATCGTATTGAGTCATTATGAGTTTGTGTCGAACATTAGTCAAACTTTACCCAACTCATTTAACTAATTATGTTGTGTCGAGTTGCGAATTGATTTGTTTATTTTCGTGTTCGTGTTGACCCATATAAATTTTGAATAAAAAATTTAACACTAATATTATATTTAAACTTAATTAAATCCATGTTAATATTTTTTTTACAAACTAAAAATTAATTTAAATAAATATTTTTTTGTTCATGTGTTAGATCACTTTCAAGTTCGTGTCATAAATTTGTGTAGAGTTTGAGTCATGTTATCGTGTTGAGTCGAAANTTTTTTGTTCATGTGTTAGATCACTTTCAAGTTCGTGTCATAAATTTGTGTAGAGTTTGAGTCATGTTATCGTGTTGAGTCGAAAATTTTTACCCCTAATTAAGATGGAAAAAATATTTTTTTTTAATTTAAAGTTTGTATTTTTTATTTTTAAATTTATATATATATATATATATATATATATATATATATAATCATTTTATTTTTATATGAAATTAATGTATACATAATATAAGTATACTAGTCATAACCCGTGCCTGAAAGCACGATAAAATATAAAATTCGAGCGTCAAAAAAATTGATCTCACTATTTTTTCAAAATATATTAATTACAAATTAATTAAATATTAAATAATTAAATATATGGTAGAAATGAGTGATGTGATATTTTTAGAGAGAAAATATATAAATAATTAAACATAAAATAGAAATGAATGATGTGATTTAATGTTTGAGTTTGATAAAGGGATGATGGGTGAGGTACGTGATTGGTGATGATTTTGAAGGGGAAAATACAACTGAAATAAAATTCNTGGATGATGGGTGAGGTAAATGATTGAAAATGGTTTTGAGGAAAAAAATATGACTGGGATAAAATTCAAACACACTCCTGTTTTATTATATAGATATAGNGTAGAAATGAGTGATGTGATATTTTTAGAGAGAAAATATATAAATAATTAAACATAAAATAGAAATGAATGATGTGATTTAATGTTTGAGTTTGATAAAGGGATGATGGGTGAGGTACGTGATTGGTGATGATTTTGAAGGGGAAAATACAACTGAAATAAAATTCAAATACACTCCTATTTTATTATATAAATATTAAAATATATATAAACAAATAAGATACATCTCAATACAAATAATTAACTTTCTGTCCACTTTTCTTTCAATTTTGGAGGGATTAATTTTGGTGAGTTGGAAGGAAGAACAATGTTACATGAATTTAAAAAGTAGACTTAAAAACTATACTTAATAATTAGAACTATTGATTTTATTGTGGATCCTAACATTTATTGGGATCCACTATCTATTCAATGATTGAGATTATCAAGTATAATTTTTAAGTTTAGTTTTTAAATTCATTTAACATTATTCTGGAAGAAAAATTAATCTATCCATTATTCTATCTTTTTTATTTTCCTTCTTTATCAAATATGATATTTTATTTATTTTTCAATCTTTCCAATTTTTCATCATTCTATTTTTCCATCATATCAAACAGAATATTAAATCAATGAGTAATGTTAGATGAACTTAAAAATTATACTTAAAAATTAGACTTGATAATCTCAACTACTGAATAGGTAGTATGTCCAAATAAATGCTGGGACCTACAGTGAAATCAATGATTGAGATTATCAAGTCTAGTTTTTAAGTCCATGTATCATTACTCTAGATCAATTATTATCTCAAATAGGAAGCCAAAAAAAATAAAATTTAAATAGTCAATGTTTTCATAATGTCCAATATACCCCTACGAAGAAACGAAATTACAAATAA